GGCCCAAGGGGCTGGGAGAGGGTCTGGCCCACTCTGCGCCTGGGCTGGGACTGGTCCCGCCGGCGCAGGGTAGCAGGAAGCTCTCCGCACACTCACCGGACCTGGGCTAGGACTGGGTCTCTCCATTAATCTCTTGCCAATCTTACATGTTAAACTTGTCATATGTGTTGCATAGAGGAGAAGGCATAGAAGACATACGGTTCAATGTTCTCTGCAGTTTCAGGCATCTGTGAGGGTGGGAGGTCATGGGATATAGTCATCAAATCCTTCCAGCCTGGAATCCCTAGCAGTTGGAAACCCCTTTCTCGAATCAGGCATTCATTTGAAGCAGATTTTTCCTGGATATAAAAGCTAAGCTGAAAAAGAGGGAGATGGAGAGAGCTTGGAGGAGGGAGTGGGATGGCATTCAGTGGTACTGGAGCCATTGCAAAGGGTCATGAATACATGGAAGACCCTGGCATTGATTCTAATACTAAACAGCTACCTTTCCAGCTTCTCCAGAGAACATAGCAAAACTAAAACAATCGAAAGCCAGTGAGTATGCCAGAAATTCCTAGGCATTTTACATGTGTATCTTGCAAGAAATGTTTTAGACACAAGCATATTCAGGGTCAGAGAAGGTAAATTTGTCCCAGTTATAGCTGGCAGGAACTCACTACCAGCTATATGGCTGCCACCCAATTCCCACTTATCCAAAAAGAAAACCCAAGCCCCAAATTATTAAACATAATTTTTATTTCATCCATAGCAAGCTAAATATAATTCTACAATGCAAAACATGTTGTAGAGGCAAGATAGTTTGCTCACATCCATTCTGTGCTTGAATATAGGTCACTGCTAGGTGTGTGCACATCTGTACCTCCCAGAGGCACCCAAAGACCTGAGGCCCCCTAAGGCCCATCACTATATCATTGATCTAATAGTTATACAGGAAAATTGACTACAGATATGTCGTCCAAGCCAGAGGGCTAAACCATATATAAGATAATGAAAAGCATTGCATATCAGGTAGGAGGTGGGAAGGCAGGGACTCCAACCTGGGACAAAGCAAGGTGAGGCAAGCTACGGGACTTTCCCCAGAAGTCCCACCTCATGGCACTTTCTCTCCCCAGCCCTCCAATGGTAGCTGTCTATAATGGTGAGATGGATCCTGTAACATGGCCTGCCTTCCGCTCTGTCTCTTGTCCTCCCTCACTCTATGGTTCAAGCCAGGGAAGATGGCTCCTGAGATGTGCCTCTCCCCATCATGAAAGCCGCACTGCACAGTCACAGCCCTGCACCTGGCACGCGTGTCCACAGGCACACACCACACAGCTCCACACAGCACATGCTCACCTCTTCATGCCCCTCATACCCCTGGCTCCACGAGGATTGGCCAGCCAGATGAAAAGAAAGTCTCCGCCCCATCAGTCCCTCCCCGAGGCCTCTAGCATTACAGGTTCATTCTGGCTGCCTGCTGCTCAGTTCCTACAGAGGGAGAAATCCTCAACCTCAAACACAGACATTCTACTTTGAGGTCAAGAACGAGGGGCTCTGAACTTTGTCCTTGGTCTCACTGGTGTCATTCTCAGGGCAGCTATGTGTGCTCAGCTCCCACGATCAACCCTAGAATTGGCCCTCCTGAGTCCAACAACTCTCAGAACTTCCTCCCCATGTTGGAGACTGCCAGCAAAGACTGGCATCCTCAAAGAGTCTGCTTGGGGGAAATGGCTTTGTCAATTATACAACCCATTGCAAATCCTTGCCAACAGTTTTCCATGATGCTGGCATCGGGCAGGACATTCTTGGTTGTGAGAACCAAGTTCCCTACTCTTAGTTTCCACACACTAAAGCTAAAGGCATCATAACAGCCAAAACTACCCCCTGTGCAGTTCAAATCACCTCTTCTGAAAACCTCCAAACAAGAGCCGTGAACAAGAAGCTGTAAGCATGAGTTGGAGTCAAGAGTTTTAACGTTGCAAAGACTAAGGAATTCCAAAAAGGAAACACAGGAAGTGCATGCGTGCATGCGTGTATGTGTTCTGGAAGGATAAGATACAGAGATGAGGATCCAGCCAACTGGGAACAATCTCTTCAACTATAAACCCTGCTTCCTAGATTCTTTTCCAAGCCAAAATTTAAAAAAAAGAAAAAGAAATAAACTCGCCAAGCCTCACGACAGCCAGGTGAGGTAGGTAAGTATTAGTATACCCTTTGGCTGGATGGCAAAAGCTGAGCCCAGAGATGCTGCATGGCCCACCTCTTCCCAGTGAGGAAGAGAAGAGGATAACGCCCTTCCTCTGTAAGGAGGGAGTCCTTGGGGAGTGCTCGCTAGAGTAAGAGGAGCCCTGCAGCTCTCTGTCTCTGCAACTGTTGACAGGGAGAAGGGAAAGGAAAGCAGGTTTGCATAAAGGCAGCTACAAGGTCTCCGAATGGCTGGGGGCTCTGGTTTTTCTGCTCCCAAAGCCAAGGAAATCTGAACTCCAGCCCAGGATAGATTTGGGATGAAGAGCAGGAGGGGAGGGGGCAGACTGGAGAAGGGATTTGCGAGCCCACCAACTTGAGCAGGGAACATAGCCTCAGCCATGACGACACGCAGATGTTGCTGTTCCTCAGACTCCCCCAACTTCCATCCTTAGAGAAGGGGAAGCTGCATCTGGATGCAGAGGGTAGCAGCCCCCCACCCTCTGGAAAAGGAGGCTTTTCCTCTCCATCCATCCTTGGTTCTCAGGGGACAATGTCCTGTAGGAAATCCTATAAGGACACGAGGCACAGAGCAGACAGTAGACACTGGGTCACCGCATCTCCTACATCCATGCCACGCAGACCCACATAATTAGACCCATCAGGAGGCCCCACTTCCAACACTCTCACACCTCCCTGTCAGGGTCCCAGATGGAAGCACTTGGCAGAGTCTTCTCACTCCTAGTCTCAGTCCCTGGCCAAGGAGCTGTCAATAACACAACTCCATGGCCTCCTCCACAACCTTGGGAAGGGGATGGCTGGGGAACCCCTGCCACATCACATTGCACAGTTAGGTCAGGGATGATGGGTTGGAAATGGAGGGAGAGACTCAAGCTGGGACTAAAGGAGCTAAGGCACGGTCTAGCCCCACACTCAAGGGGTGTACAAACCAGGTCTGCAGCAAGCACAGGAAAAATGTGGGTCCCTTCTCCCTGCTCCTCCAAAAACCCAGAATAACAAAGGGGAGCCTGCTGAGCAGGAAGCAGCTAGAAAACCTGAGGGCTCTCTCATCTAAGAAAGACGGTCCCTGAGGCAAAGGCAAACCCAGGGCTGGGGGACACATGACCCCAGGTGCAGGGGCAAAGGTGTGGTAGAGGGGCACCAGAAGAACAAGCCAATGGGAGCAGGGGGTGGGGAATGGGAATGAAGAGGCTGCAATCCCTCCAACAAGATGACACCCCCTGGTGTTTCAAGGGAAGAGGAAGAGCAGAGAAGCCAAACTCAGGAGTGGACTGAATGTCAATGGGCCTGCAAGGTCAAGTACAAGGACTTCCAGCACTGGAGGCATGGGGTGAGCATGCTGGTATACCCACCTCTGCGGTCCCACTCCCCAAGATGAAATCCTAGGAAAGCCATAGGCGGCACCCCGGGGATCCATAAAGGATCGAGGGGCCCCTCCATGAGCCCCTCAGCAACCCAGAGGCAGAAGGGTTGACATGGTGGGCAGGGATCTCTCAAAACCAAGGCAGCCAGGCCTACCTGGGAAGGATGGCTTAGGAACTCAGAGAAGGAGGCAGGGAGATGCGACAAGGTAGAGGCCTCATTTGAGGGACTATGGTATACCAGTTGTCTTACAAAGCCCAGCTTGCCACCTACTGTATTGCCCCTCCTGCCCTCCTGCCCCAAGTCTTCTCCTGGACCTTCTAACACACTTCTCACCACCAAAGAAATTTCCTTCCCCACATAAGGCTCTTCCTTCATGCAGCTCCAGGGTCCAGCTTGTTGAGCAATCCCCACTGACCCCCAAAGTCCCTCTTGCAGATAAAACAGAAGGAAAACCAAGGCTGGGCTCACTCAGGATGGGGAGCCTAAGCAAACTCTACTTTCCAGGTGTTGGGGAACCAGCCCCTCAACACCATCTCAAACCCTCCTTTCTCTCTCTGACCCCCATAGGCCCCATCCCCTGGTCAGCCCTTGTCCCTGGGAAGTCCTAGCTGGAGAGGGGGGTGGGGCCGGCCAGACAGGACCCCAGTTTCTCCCTGCCCAGAAAGACTACAGTTCGAGCCAAGCAGAAGATGTCTCAGGCACATGGATTCTACAGACAGGGCTCAAGCATCAGTGTCATGGGCAGAAAGCGAGGCTCCCTGTGCTGCCTGGCCCAAAGCAGGGCCTCACACTTTGGTGGGTGGCTTCTCTTCTGCCTTAGAGCCTGGCAAGCCGTTCTCTGTGTTGTCATTCCCTGAGGAACTCACAAGACACTCTTTCCTAGAGAGGAAGAAAGAAAGACAGACATGGGTGAGGAACATAAGGGATGAACAGGGGAGAGAGATGTGATCCAGCCCGGAACCCACTCCCCCGCCTTCTAAGAGCAAAGGTAGCAGAAGACCAAGTCTGCTACCATTTCTATACCTCAGGTTCCTCAGCTATAAAATAGACATAACCATGACACCTTCTTCATGGGGCTGCTATGAGCAGCAAGGGCATTTAGAAGGTGCTAGCTTGGAGAAAAGACTTGCTAAGGCTTAGCCATCACCTGGTTGTCTCAAACAGCAGAAGCCAAGGGGCACTGGGCACAATTCCCAGAGGCCCGATCCAGGCTGTGCCACCTAGGGGGAAGGTGCAGGCCAGCAAGGAGTATGCTGAGGTGGCACAGCTCCTCCCCACTGGGCCTGGCTGGCCAGAGCTGGGAGAGAGAGGGCCATAAGGGAGAGCAAACAGCACATCTGGCATCAAGGTGGCACATCTGGGCAAACAGTGGTGAGACAGGGCAGAGACAGAGGAAGGAGCGACGTGGGACTGCTCCACCTTGACTGCCCCAGCTGCCTGGGCTCCTATTTAGCTTCTCCTGCTCCACAGCAGGGCACAGGCTGGGCCTCCTGCTTTTTGCTGTCATGTGGGCTTCTCACGATGCTCAAGGGACACCCTCAGGTTTCCATGGGGCCTGTCCCCTGTCCCAGCCTCTCCCCACCTAGATCCTGTGCCCCCATGGCAGACTTGCTGGTCATGCCAGGGCCCTGCAAGTCCCCGCAGGCTCCTTTTAGCCAGATGGAAAACCACATGCAGCCTGGAGCACGTAGCCCCACGGGTCTGTGCCCAGCGCCTTCCCGGTTTTCCTCCTGTCTCCACACACCCACTGTAACATATAGGCTTTGTTCTCCACATGCCCACTGCCTGGACCCTCTGCCTCGCCCTCAGCCTCCTCTGCCAAGAACACTGCCCTATCCCTCTCCTCAGCGATGAAGTCACACCCACCAAGAGTACCCAGAAGACCCCAATATCACCTCTGAACTCTGGAGCAGCACTTAATCATGCATGCCCTTTTGCAGGGACTGAGCTCTGGCACTACGCCGATTAGGGTACACATTGTGTCTCCTCTACTGAGGGGCAGACTCTTATGCCTTTCAGCTTGTCCCATAGCATCTGGCATAGGGCTTTGCACACTGAATCAATGAATAACTCTACTGGCTATGTCCAGGGGGTCCATAGGACTTGGTGCCAGTGGTCTTAGGGATGAAACCAAATGAGCCAGAGTTCAAATCCTAGCTATGTCATTTACTAGCCTTCAACCGTACTGAGTCTCTCATTGTTCCACTGTAAAACAGAAATGGAAACATTGTACAAAAATGCCAGGTGGAGCACTGAAAGCACGGTGGGCTCTCAGTAAATGCCAGGAAGAGTTATTGTTGTGGTTTGTATCAGGATGTCACCCCACAGCCTCGTGGGGCAGGGCTCCGGAGAGTGACTGGATCAGGGGTGTGTGACACCTACCAGTGGATCAGCTCACTGATGCACTTATGCTAACATGGCATTAGGAGGTGAAGCCTGAGGGACAAGGCAGTCACTGGGGGTGCGCCTGGAAGGGTCTACCTCCATCTCCTCTCTTGGTCTCTTTCTTCTTCCCACCATCATTCTGTGAGCTGTTCCTCCTCTGCCATGTCACCTGCCTAAGGGCTGGAGCCTCTAGCAACTGTGTACCAAAGTACACCTTTCTTCACTTAAATTGTGGGTCTCAAGTGTTGTGTGTGGCAGGGTACCACGCTTCAGCAAGGAGAAAGCAATGGAGACAGTTATTAAGAGAAAGTGACAGAGATTATTATCTGTGGCCATCTGGTCTACCAGCATCCTAGCCAGAAAACATTTAGTGTGCCTTTTTTCTTTTCCATCGCTTTTGGTTTGCATTTTGTTTTGTGGTGCTGGGGACAGAACTCAGGGTTCTCATTAGGCAACTATTCCTTTAATGAACCCAGCACTGCCAGCCCAGCAGGCCCTGTAGCCCCAAAGGGTCGCTGCTGTAAAACTATATGTTAAAAAACTTACCCTCTGGCTTTGCTCACACTGCCAGTAGGACTGGTTATTAAAAGCAAAGCCTGGTCAGCACCTGGCACAGTACCTTGGGCACAGAACCTCAAAAATAGCCACCAAATAAGTGAATCAGTGAATGAACTCTGGATTTGCCCAAGAAGTCGACAGGCTATGGTAGGAATAGTTTTAGGGTTGAAGCCAAGTAAGTCAGAGCTCAAAGCCTAGCTCTATCTTGTACCAGCTGGGAGGCAAGCTCTGTCCCTATCAACAAGGCCACCCGGCTCCCAGCCTCTGGCCACAGTGCAGGCAGACCACGCCCTCTAGGGTTCCTCCTCTCTGCCCTGGGGCTGGGGCCCTCCTGCTTGCTGCGCTGGAGCTGCCCCCGAGGCTCCCCTCCTTGTCTTCAGCTTCCCTCCCTTCTCAAGGGGGTGTTTCTGCCCTTCCCATCTGCTCTCTCCTCAGGGCAGAGGCAACAAGCAGGAGCAGAGCAGTTCTCTTCTTCACAACCCCAAGCTGTCAGCGGCCTCATCTCCTGTCTTTCCCTGGCTTTGTAAGATTCACTGCCTGCTGCTTTGAAGCCTTCCCAACACTTTTGGTTCCCTGAGATAGGGACTGTTCTGGAAACTCTGGACCTGGGACTTGCACGCTCTGTACCATCCATCTTTCTTCTCCTTCCCTTATAGGTGGTTACTTTGTGTGGTGCTAAGAGATGAACAGGTCCTTCAGCCTCCTAAGCAAGCCCATCACCACAAGCCTTGCCTTTGCCTTTCCCACCACTCTCTGCCCTGGGCTTCCTGGGAGGCCGTGACAGCCTTTTGCTTCACTTTACTTTTATCTCTGCATTTGAATTTTCCAAATTTCACAGTAAGAGACTTCTGTCTCCCTAGAAGGATCTTCCCATTTTAGAATTTCTGTACATGGACTCATATTTTCTTTAATTTTTTTAAAGCTTCCTGAGTACTTTGCTCAGTCCTTAAAACAGGGGGTACCAATGCAAAGAGAGAGGCCAGTGGGGTGGGAAGGAAGAGCAAGGGGGCTGTGCTCAGGTTCCAAATGAAATCAGGGCACTCAATAGCTTCATACAGGGAGGAAAGGAGAGGGAGGGAGCTTAGGAGAGGGGCTGAGCGATGGGGACCCAGCTACATGAGAATAGAGACAGTGGTGGGATTAGGAAGACAGGATGGACCGAGGGCAGGGGTGAGGCTACTGGCTGAGGGACCATAGGGTGAGGAGCGGTGGGCTGGCAGGTGCACAGGCAGTGCAGCTAGAAATGAGGTGCTGGTGAGCCTCTTCCTTCCCTCCATCTAATTCTAAAAAGCACCCAGTGGTTCTCCCTGCTTCCATGATCCTAAGAAAGGTGCAAAAAATAACCTAGCAGGTGCCCGGGAGACTGCCATGCCCTAGGAGAGAACACAGGCACCGCTGGGGCAGGCGTGGCAGTTCTTTCCCAAGGAGCTATCACTGGCCCATCCAACTGCAACATGGGATTGCAAGGGGATCCACGGGGTGTGCAAGGGGGTGTGCAAGGGGCTCGACTCACTTCTTCTCACGTGTCTTCTTGAGGATGAAGGCAATGAACTTCTTCAGCAGCAGAATGAAGACCAGGAGGCCGATGACCCCGCCCACCACACTCAGGATGATGAGTGTCACCGTATTGTCCACTTTCTCCACTGTGTGGACAGAGAAGGCAGGAGAAGTGGGGAGAGGAGAGCAGAGGTCACCTGGAGCAGCACTGGAATAACACAAAGACTGCCGGGCAGGGGGATGGAACGGGGCACCCACTAGGCTGGGTCCCACGAAGCCCCACACATAGCCTCTCACTCACATGTAAGCTCACAAATAAATCAGAATCAGAGTTCACATCAACCGGGCTTGGGCCACCCCTTGGCCCTCAGATTACACATGCACACTGCAGCGCCTCTCTCTATGCAAAAGACATCTTCAGGAAAGGAGAGGCAAGAGCTCCTCCTAGCTCTCTGTCCTACCTCCTTCCGATGTTGCTTTTTCCAGTGAAACCTTCCCTGACCACCCTGCAAACAACTACCTTCCTTTGCTGCTTTATTTTTTTTCCCACAATAGTACCCATGTTCTCTCACACAATGTAATCTGGCAACAGGTCTGGGTTTTGGTTCCCTGAGATAGGGACTCGCTATATAGCCCAGGCTGGCCTCAACTTCAAAATCCTCCTGCCTCAGCCTCCTGAGTGCTGATATTACAGGAGTCTTCTTAAAAATGAGTTCCTCATTGACTAGAAAAGGAGGAGAATGAGCTCCCCCAGCAGGAATGTGCCTGTCTGGTTCACCCTGCACCCTCACACCTAGAGCAGTATCTGCCCACTCTGTAGGCACATGTTGATTAGGTAGATGAATAACTCTACAATGGAAAGAAGAGCTTGAAGGAATTTTATGGCGAGCAGAGGAATCAGGTGAGGGAGGGCATCTAACTCAGTCCCTGGCTCCCCAAAACACCACCAATATTCTCCCTTCCCTTCTCCTCCTCCAAAGGCTGAGCATTGTGAATGGTAGGAACCCAGACAGACAGGAAGAGGTGACACCATATTCAGCATGACTTAGATGACTTCAGGCTCAAAACAACCTGGCTCTAGCACCACCAAAACTGAACTCCCAATGCCATCCTCTCCAGGCACTCTGTGCCACCCACACCAAAGGCAGCAGAAGCCAGATCCTTGAGCAGCTCCCCCACCCTCTTCCTGGGTTCCTGTACTGCCTCAGCCTTCCGGAATCCATGCCCACCCTGCCCACCACAAAGCGCAACCTAACTTTTCCTACCCTGCTTATCCTCCTCTGCTTCTCTGGGGGTCACATGACCAGCTGGCTCTTTATCACAGGCGCCCTAACTGGCCTACTGAGTCACACTGCAAACCCCAAGTAGGAGACAAGCTCCCAGAAGGGAGGGACGATGTCTCATTCCATCTCCCTTTCTGCTTGCTCTACTAACATAGGTATATTGAGTACAGTCACCTGTGTGTGTCTTCTGTGCTACACTGAAACAGCCACTCCTCAAGCAAGAACACCGCGTCATTCATAGAGCTTGTTTGCATGACATTTAACATTCAGACATAAAATACAAACTGTAGCAATGACTGATATACTCAGAGAGAGCTTGGTTGGCTACCACCTGCTCCCAGCTCGCTCCTCTGACCCTTACAACAACCCTAAAAGAATGCACCCACCATCCCATTTCACAGTCCTGGCAAACAAGGTTCAGAGAGGCTGTGTACTTCACAAGCTACTCAACAGTAAATATGCTCCAACTGAATTCTTCTGGCTCCCAGGTATAATTCCAATAACTCTTGAAAGTGTAAAGCAAAAGAAAGTGCTGGTATGGTGGTGCCCCCAGGTCCTTCCCGTGCTACTGCCCAGTTCTGGTCCCCATGCGTACGTTTATCAACGACTTGGAGGATGATGGTAGCCTGGTGCTCGAGGTCCTTCTCCTTGGGGTTCTTCACATGACAGGTGTATTTCCCCGAGTCACTGAACTCCAGGTCCCTCAGCAGGATTGATATATTGTTCTGCTTCTCCTTCGTGGTGCCCACCAGAGTGATTCGGTCATCGTCTTTTAACTTCAGCTTGGGATCAGACTTCTCATTCTTCACAGTCCCATCTATGAGCTGGGAGATAGGTAGGAAAGGATGAGAGGGTCACAAGCCATGACATCGCTCCAGCCCCTCCAGGGGCACCTGTCCTGTCAAGGTCCAGGAAGAGCCTGCAGGGAGAGGGGCTGGGCCCCCATGGACCTCCTCTGCTGGTGTCAAGAGCTCCACCTGTCTAACCTGAATCGTACTCAGTTCCTCTCTTAAGGTCTCCCTCTCTTCTTACCACTCTCTTCATAAAGCCTTTTCCAAGATGACCTGCAAACACCACATGGGCTTCCCTCTGCCCCTCCTGCCCAGCATATCTGACTCCATGTGCCCTCTCTGGCTTAATTCTAGCCCCCCACCTAGGCCTGGCTCAGGGCCACAGCTCTGTCCGTCAGCATCCTAAGAGGTCTGCATTTAACTCCAAGCAGAGCTTGGGCTTCTCTGTGCCCCCTGTGTGCAGACGCCTGCTGGGCTGCAGGCACCTCGGCTTGCACTTGTTGGCTGATTCTACCCCACCCCGCCCTACCTGCTGCTGCTCTGGCAGCCACCCTGTTCTTCCCCTTCTTCCTGTCTCCTTCTTCTGAATCCAGTCCCTACCCTTGCCTCATTCTCAGTCTCCTCACTCTGTCTCCAACCCACCCAGTGATCTTTCTCACTCTTGTTTATTCCACTATTATTCCACTAAGCTATTAGTTTTCACACAGTCATTCCAAGTTCCTGGTTTGTTCGCTTGTTTGTTGGAGACAAGGTCTGGCTCTGTTGTGCAGGCTGGCCTCAAATTCATGGTGATGCTCTTCACTCAGCCTCCCAAGAGCTAAGATTACAATGTTCCCGGTTATTTGCTAAGATAGAGGACCTAGCCAAGAACTCCAGCAGCCCCAAGTTCTGGCAACACTATCTAAGATTCCTCCCACTCAAAGTCTGTCTGGAAGGAATACTGGGAGATAGGACACCAAAAGGTGAGTTCTGGGGCCCATCACAAAGGGGCTCACAACCAGGCATGGTAGTGCACACCTGTAACTCCAGCACTTGGGAGGCTGAGGAAGGAGGATCATTACAGGTTTGAGACCAGCCTGGGCTACAAGGTGAGCTCAAGGCCAACCTGGACTGCATAGTGAGACCCTGTCTCAAAAAAAAAAAAAAGAACAACAACAACAACAAAAAGGTGGGGGACTCAGAAGGGATGGATGGGAGGCATGCATGGGAAAGGGACAGAGAAGGGAGAGTGGATCTGGGAGACCCAGACCCCACGCCACAACTTACAATTCTGGAAGTGTCACTGTTATTGTAGGACCACCAGAAGTGGAGGTCCTCGAAGCCAAAGCAACTAGAGAAGGTACAGGGCAGCAGAATCTCAGTGCCGTTGACAGCGTAGATGGTGGTGGCCTTCCCCACAGACACCTCCAACGACAAGGACATGGGAAGCAGGAAGAGACCTGTGTAAGGGGCACGGCCACTCTTAAAATTTCACGGGACTCTCCAGGCTGCAGAACCACTTGGCCGGGCAGGGAGGCCGCTGTCACCCTCAGTGTCAACTTCAGGGGGATCGTTCTTTTCATTTCGCTTGACACCCCCTGGGCCACTCCGCTGTAATTCTCCATCTCTCCCCATGGAGCAGGATTAAATTCCAGACTCCTCAGTTGCCCTTGTGACACTCCAGATGACCACCAGGGGTCACCCCAACCCAAGAGAAGCAAGATCCTGTCGTTAGGCCAAGAATCCGCGTCCCCGCCCCGCCCCCCACCTGGAACCTGTTCCAGAGTGTACCCAGGGCGATCAAGGAGGGCGCCCTTCTGAGTGCGTGGGAATTTCCCCTTGAACTGGGCCGCCTCCGGGTGCTGCAACGTGAGGGGTGGGAGGGGCGGCGACCCTGGGGGAAGAGGAGGCTCAGCTGCCGCTATCCTCCCACCGCAGCGCGTTTGTCTCCGCGCCTGGCCAGAGGAGCAGAGCAGCAGAGGGACGCCTCGGGCTGGACTTAACTTGGCCATCAGAGTCCAGCGTCTCCCGGCCACCCAAGGAGATCCTGACTGGAGGAAGACGGACCTGGCCAGGATGGAATCAGGGCTGGGCTTGGACACAGCCTGGAGCTCGTAGCCCGAGCAAGCACGGAAATGGGGAGAAAAAAGGAAAAGGCAGAGACGCGCCGCGGAGGTGGATGCGGAACGGACTGGAAGGCTCGCTTGCAGAACCGCCGTGCCCTCCAGATCCGAGGAGCCCGGCCTCCCGGCACACTCCGCCGCCGCTCAGCCTGGAAGCGCAGCTTTGCCCCGGCGGCTCCCAGCGCGGATCCGCAGAGCACAGCCCGGGGGGCGCCGCCGAGGCCCCGCCTCCTGCGTCCTCCACCCGAACCTGGCCGGGTCTCTGCTGTCGCATTCCTCAAGGAAACGCGCCGCCTCAAGGTCGTTGGGGGAAGAGGGTCCCTAATGGGCGCTTTGCTCTCCTTGCCACTAGGGGAAAAGAGCCTCTTCTTCCAGCCTCTCGGGTGTCTAACTTAGTGTCCTCCTTTCTTACCCCCAGGAGATGATCAGATGTTTGGTGCTTCCTAGCAAGGCTTTCTGAAAGACTGGGAAGGAGCTCCGAGGAGCCCCCAGGAGCAGCCCCGCAACTAGGCGGCGGGCCCCTCGTTTGTGTGGAGTGTTTTTTGATTTTGGAGGTGAACTGGAGTGCTCGCAGCCCACCCGCCCCACTCCCGCTCAGGAATCAACCCCATGATCCAGTAACTCATTCGTGGCGTGACCCCCGCCACTGTCCATAACAGCAGCTATTACTACGGGCCTGGCACATTTCATCCTCACACCCGTCTTAAATCCATGAAGACTGGGGAGATAGCTCAGCGCTCAAAGTGCCTGCTTGGCAAGCACAAGGACCTGAGTTCAGTCCCAGATACAAGACTGTGACAGGAGGATCACTACCAGTCTGAACTGTGTAGTGAGACCCTATATCCAATAAATAATTTTTTATTTAAAAAAAAATCCTTTTGAAAGGTGGAGTTAGATAACTTTCCTAAACTCAGTGAGAGTTATTTCCCACGTCCAGTGGTACCAAGGCAAGCAAATGTCTCTTTACATCCCCAGAGTCAACTCTGCCCCCAGGGCTCCTGAAAAGTTAACACACTGAGCCCTCCTTTAGCCACATATGGTGACGTGTACCATACTTGTCGTCTCAGTTGCTCAGAAAGCTAAGATGGGAGATCACTTGAGCCCAAGAATTTGAGACCAGCATGGGCAACACAGCCAGACCTCAGTGTCCAAAAAAAAAAAAAATGTCACATTTGGCTCTCGTTTTTTGGTCAGTTCCAGCATGCCAGGAATTGCTGCAGAGCTGTGTGGCTTTCAAACATGAAAGGGCATCAAAATGGCCTGAAAGACACAGGCAGGCAACTGGGCCCACTCCCTGGAGCCACTGATTCAGGAAGTGTTTCTTGATGCCAGATAGGTGGCATCTCAGAAAAAAACCTGGGCAGGGACCTCATCTTAAGAAACACTGTATTAGGGGCCAGGGAGATAGCTCAGTAGAATAAGCGCTTGCCTGGCAAGCACAAGGGCCTGAGTTTAATCCCCCGTTCCACAAAAAAGAAAGAAAGAAAGAAAGGAAGGAAGGAAGGAAGGAAGGAAGGAAGGAAGAAAGAAAGAAAGAAAGAAAGAAAGAAAGAAAGAAAGAAAGAAAGAAAGAAAGAAATCCTGTATTAAAGGACATATTAATTCCAACTTTCGTTAGGATGCTGAAAGGTAGGTACGATTTTTTTTTTTTTTCATTTTAAAGATGATAAAATTGTAGCTCAAAAAGGTTGCCTGGCTTCCCCGGGGGCCAGTGTGAAACTGCACACTTACTATTTATAGGACAGGCATTTTTATATGCCTCATTTAATCCTTATAATAACCCTACAACATAGCTGTTGTTTATATTCCCAATATACAAGTGAAGAAATGGGCTCAAATAGATTAATTTACAGCTGGGCAAGCTGGTGCACACCTGTAATCCCAGCCCTCGGGAGGCTGAGGCAGGAGGATCATTGCAAGTTCAAATCCAGCCTGGGCTACAAAATGAACTGGAACTGGAAGTAAGCTCAAGGCCAGCCTAAACTACATAGCAAGACCCCAGAGAGAGAGAGAGAGAGAGAGAGAGAGAGAGAGAGAGAGAGAGAGAGAGATTTACTAAGGTTGTATACCTGACAAATATGTACACAGTATTCAGAAGATGTGGCTTTTCACCTCTCCAAGAGAACATTTCTTTTTTATATTATTTGGTATGGGAATCAAACTCAGGCCCTTGTGTCTGCTAGACAGGCACTCATGCCACTGAGTTATATATTCTTTCAGGACTTAGTGCACCTTGCAGCTCCCCATTCACCTTTGCTTCTGCCCTCCTGAGCCCTCCCTTCTCCCTGGGGCCTAGAGGCAGGAGCCAGACAGACACAGCACTCCTCTTCAGCCTGGGGCCAGCAGGAGGATGCCCTTCGGGTGAGAAGCCCCAGCTCTGCTCCTCATTCATCCCAAAACCCCCACAGGCCACCGCTCTGGGGTCAGGAGGTGGACAGGGAGGCAATCCAGAAGAGGGGCTTCTGCAGGGCTCCAGGGAATGCAGCGGCTGTGGCTTCGATGCTCATTTTCACCCTGGCCCAGGAACTAGGGTCCTGGAGAAGATTTCAGGGGCCAAGTTTGCACTCCCAAGCCCTAGTCAGCCCCAGCCACATAAGCTGTTCAAAAGGCACATCAAAAGGGAAAGACGGTTTCTTTAAATGGAGAGGGGCCAGGACAGACAATGGTATTTTTTAAAGGTCTAGCTCACAGCATTGTGCCTTTCTGCCTGATGTGGATGACTTAACTCCTATGCACTCAGAACTCTCTGAGCAAAAGATTGTCATTTCCCCCATAGCCTGGAGGAGATAAAGAAAATTGCAGAAATTACTTCCTGAGTCCACAGCCCTGCGCAGGTTAAGGCACCAGAGCAGGTGGACAAGCCTGGCTTCTGCACCACACAGCCCTCCCAGCCTGGTGTCAGCAAATCCAGGAAAGCCTGGGTGCCTGCCTCCCACACCCCATCTCATCTGTGAGGCCGTGCTGCAGGGAGAGGCAGGAGCAAGAGCAGCCAGACACTGCTGCAGGCTGCTCAGCAGGACAGCCAGATCCTGAGAGGACTGGTCAGCAGCACCAGGCAGGCCCCGCTTTGCCTCCTGACCTTGGACAAGTCAGAGGGGCTACATCCCATGTGCAGCCCTAGGCCATCCCGGGGTAGCTCTAGACTTCCCTAGCTGCTGAGACCATAAGGAAGCCAAAATGTGAGACTGTAAACACAAAAGGGCTTTGGTGAGTGGGACCCTGCCAGCAGAGGAGAATGGTATTTGAAAGGGGGAACAGGGCTGTGCCCACCTCAGACTTGAATACAAACCTTCCTTTAATGACCAGTGTCAGCCAGGAACATCTCCAGGCCACTCACATATCGATTTATACTTCTGCCCTGTACCACATCTTGGAGTGTTTCCACAGAGCTATTTCCCTGAAGCAAGGGACTTACTTTGCTTGGTCCTAAACTCAGTGCTTTAGAATGTCAACGTGTGCATGTGTGTCTGGGGGTAAAGCCAGGCAGCCCCTCTTTTGACATTGTGAGCATAATGAAAAGACACTGTCCACCACCACTGCCCCCGTCATGGGCCTGTGGAACTAGGTCCTGGACCCACACCTTTGTCTTTCTTCACTGCTGAGCCACTCAGCAGCCATTCCTTGTCATCTTCTGACACCTAACCCCCTACCGCTGTCATCTGGATTCCAGGGCTTGTCTACATATAGACTTAGGGTTCTCATATTTGCTCAAAGTACAAAAGCATTCACTGGGCCTAGCGGTACACCCCTGCAATCTCTGCATTCTGGGAGGCTGAGGCTGGAGAATCACAAGTTGGACCCCAGCCTGGGCAATTTAGTGAAACTCTGTCTAAAATTAAATAAATAAATAAATAAATAAATAAATAAATAAAATGCTGAGGCCTTAGCTCAGTGTAAAGGCCCCCATTGCAATCCCCAAAATCAGTACTTGCAAATGTTATTAAATATTCATGCTAGCAGGGCTAAAACAACAGCCATCCTAGAGTCCAAGGCCAGCACCAGGCAGACAACAACATTCCACCACCTTTTCCCACATCCGGGGATCAGCTGCAACCCCCCCCCAAGGCAAGGGGAAGAAGAGGGCAGGATGGCACCCACTCTAAGTTTAGCTCTGAGGGCACAGCCTGCATGGCAGCACAGCAAGCGGAAATTTGGCTGAGGCACTTTGGCCTCAGGGGAATTAGAAAGCTCAGTTAGAGCTAGAAGGTAGAAAGTGGGCCGAGGGCAGCAGGACAGGCGCCCTCCTGGGGTGGAGGCCCTGGGGGCTACAGGAGGCGGGGTTGGGCCCTCTGGGCCCAGAGACAAAGGAAAAATTTCAGCTCCCTCTCCCTAGGCAACGTGCCTGCTTCCTGCCCACCCCCAGGAGCTTTGCGGGGATGAAGCAAGCCCCTGGGACAAGGCACAGTGACACCAGCTTTGCAAACAAGTCCAAACAATATGCCTGTCCCTCCTCTTACAGGCCTCTGAGCCCAGGCTTTGTTAGGCCAGCCCATCCAAGGCTCATACAGACATCCTCGCACCCTCTAAGGGCCCAGCCATAGGGATGGGGGTCATGAGACTCTGCCTACCTATGGAGCTGACCCCACCAGGAGCTGGCCAGGACAGCCATAAAGGCTAAGGGACTCAGCCTTCTTTCTGTCCCCAAGGCCCGCCTCACCTCCAGATTCAGAAAGAGAACCTTCCTTTCCAGATCCGAGCCTGACACCCCCCTTTACTTCTTTCCTCTCCACCATTTCCAGGAACTCCTGGCTTAGCCTTCCCATATTTTTATTTTTCTGAGTGGGATTGAACACCCTCTCCTTAATTGTGTTCCCATTAAACAAGCTCTTAATAAATACATACCAAGGGAAAGAGGGTTGTGCAACACCACATCCTCACAAGTGATAATTAAACACAGATCACAGCAATTAAGCAAATCAGGGAACAAGGCAGGGGTGGGCGCAACAGATATATTACTAGTTACATGCTTAGGAAGAGTCTGGAACTCCGTAATCCTCAACTGCAATGATATGGTCTTCAGATTGCTTCTTGGTTTAAGCAAATGGCATCTTGTCAGGTTATCAGAAATCACTGTAGTCTGTGAGACTGTTTGATACAGTAAGAAGGGAACTTACTGCTCCTAAAACAGTCCTCCCAGCTGTGAGAATGGCAGGCCTGGCCCCCTCCACAGAGACTGCACCCTTCCCTTCTGTGCCCCTGAGCCTCATCCCCCCGGCCCTAAGCAGAATTCCTGTTGACCTTCCTCCTCACCAGACTTCTGGAAACCAGGAGGCAGCCTGGCGGGATGAAGCCCAAGAGCCTGGATCCCATCCCGCTTAGCCATCAGTTAACCATGGAACCATGGATAAGGCGCTGTCCCTCTCTGGACCATGGCTTGCTCCTTAGGAGAGCTCTGTGCTGTGATTCTAAGTCCCTGCCTGCTCTGCTGCTCCAGGGGACAGCTCCAGCTGGCTATCCAGTGCTCTCTGCATGTCCCCTCTGGTCCAAGCTCAGAACAGGGCCTCTGTGAGGGCTCCGATGGTGGCTCTGTAGGCACAGCCTTAAAGGAAGCCATATTGTTATCCTTCTGCATGCTAAAGAGGCAGGGGCTGAGAGGTGGGACCAGTTCTGGGGACCAATGGCCTCCCACCTGCTGGTCATTCTGCTCTGTCCTAGTTCCCTGAGGGACATTCAGGGAGTAATCCAAGCCTGTCCCAAGGACCCTGCCCCTCCCACATCTACTCAGTGGAGCAGTGGGGGGGGGGCTTGCACCTGGATGAACATACCAAGACTGTGCCCCACTCCCCCACATGCATACACACGTAGTTCCCAGGCTTCCACAGAAACCTAGTTCTATGAATATTCCAACAGCCCACAGCCTGGCACCCCAACAGCCAACACAGCACAGGATGCAAGACAGCCCACAGCATAAAGTGGGGCAGTTTAATAACTGGATGAGTTTCAATGCCTTGGGGCCCCTTACCTGGCCCTGGTCATAGTGGTGACCAGGGCTGATCTGAGAGGCAATAATGGGGAATTCATACAGAGCAGCACTGTGTCCATTCCATGAACAAGAGCCTTGGCCCTAAAAGGCCAACTTCATTAGGGTCACCGTGAAACTTGCAAGACATCTATGTCCAAGGCTTCTGTCTAGCTGTACGACAAAACGGTGGGTGGCTCCAAAGTAAGGAAATGCTCCCGCCCCCTCCACTTCCAGGTAGAGCTGGACAGCTCTGCACAGGGTTCAGAGGTGCAGAAACAGCAGGGGCTTCCCACAGAGGCCACCATCCCCCTGCTTTTAGCACAAACACCTTTTCCATGTGTCCAGTGGGGGAAGCTGCCAAAGCCAAACCTGACAAACATAAACAGGAAGAGGCACAAGTGCCAGCGATGGGGTCGGCTTACATTGAAGTCTGGCTTTGATTTATGAGATTATATTCTGGACTAATAAATATCATTCCCTAATCTCTCAGAGTTTGACGCTCAGGGCTATCATGTGCATATTAATAGATTTTAATAATACTCCGCTCCCTCCGTGTCCTCTGGCCATGTCTCCTCTGTCTTCATAGTCACCCCCCCAAAAAAGAGCAGGGGTAAGCCAAACAGGTTTTCCCTGTGGGATCTGTACTGGAAGGAAGACAAGACCCGTCCTAAAACGCTGCCTTCAGAATGGCAGAGCCCGTCCGGTATTTGGAGTGGAGCTGCAGAGACCGGGCAGTGGCACTGGAGAAGGCTGCGGATTAAGAAGGCGAGCGGGAAAAGGGCTCAGGAGGGCGTTGGGCCCCGGCCCTCCCACTGGTGCAAGTCTGATGCCTTCGAAACAAGCAACCAGCTCTGGGCAGGGGTGGAAAACACCGTCCTAGCAATCACGTGCACCCACCTGGCGTCCCCTAAGCCCGAGGAGGCACAGACCTCCCCCCTCACCCCCGCATGCCCGAGCCTGGCAACTCAAACTCCGGAGACCTCCACTGCAGCCCCAAACGCCTGAAGCTCAAGGCGCCAGAGACTGCAAAAAGAAAAAGAAAGAAAGAAAAAAAAGAACTGATCTCAAGACAGGCTGATGGGGTGAAGGGACGCGCATGGTCCCCGGGGAACACAATCTCAGCCACAGCCCAGGGTCCGGCGGGAAGAGGTGGGCACCGCGCTCGTCCCGTGCAGTGCTCCAACACCCACCCGGTCCACGGCGCGCGTCTTCTCAAGTGCCTCCTCCTGGGGGGAGGGGGAGAGGCGAGAGAAGGGACCGAACTGTGCCCGCCTTACCCAAAAGCCCAGTGCCCAGCCATCTCGCCAGGGCTTTGCCTCGGTCCCCAGCCCCGGACATCGTCCTGTTCTCTGCGGAGCTCGGGGACAGGGTACTGGGCACCGCCGCTCTCTCCGCCAGGGGTCGGGAATCGGCCCCGCAGCTGCCTGGAGCTCTGCGCCGAGGTTGGGGCTCGGGAAAGTTAGCGCGGAGGGAGCGGGCGGAGGGCGAGGGGGGAGCGGGCCGGAGGAGGCGGAGGGGGCGGAGCCGAGCCGGGAGGGAGAGGACGCGGGCGCCGCGGCTGCGAGGCTGCGCCTCAGTCCTGGACGCGCTCCAGCCGCAGGAGGGGCGGCGGCCGCCGGGCCAAGGCGCCCGGCTCGAGGTCCCGGACGGAGCCAGGGTCCGCTGCGGGCACCCCGCTCCCGCTCCAGACGGACAGGGCTGCTGCGATCTGCACCGCAGGGCTGGCCCGCAGCTGCCCGCAGCCTCCCGAGCTCAGCGGAGTGGCCTCGGTGGAGCACAGCTTGGGGGTGGGGGCGCTGGGGTGGAGCTTTGGGGTGCTGCTGGGGACTGTTTGGCTTTGCTTGGGGAGCACGGGCGCGGGAGCCACTCCGCCCTCCGGGACGGCGTCCTCAGCGGCGCCACTGCAGCCGGTGGGGGTGTGCCTGCTCACCCGCCTGCTGTGCCCGCTGTGCTCACTGCGCCCGCCGCCGAGGCTGGGCGCCTGCAGCGGGAACCCGCGTCCGCCGCCTCTGGCCGCGTGGCTCCTAAGCCCCGCCGGTTTCTCCGGGCGCAGAGAACGGGCTTCCGAGGGCAACCTGCCCTACCCCTCGCCCACCATGCTCCGCGACTGCTTCACAGACCCTTGTCCTAACCCTCCGGGTCTGGTAGTGCGGGGTCTGCGCCCCCTTTCACAGACACACCCCACAGTTCTCCCTCTCCTATACCCACTCCCAACCTAGGCCATCTCCCTTCCCCCAAAACTCGGAACCTGCCGGAGAAACTTCCTCTGCCTCCCTTTTGAGGTGGCTGGAGGAGCCCGCATCCAGGTCTGAGGACTCAGGTGGCAGTTGGAACCGAGGAGACTTTTCCCAGACAGCCCGCGTTAGAGTGACCACTTCAAAAAGCTCCTGTAAGGTGGGGGTTCAGGAAATACCGCGGGCGTTCTCCACAGCACCCCTGCCTGCATCCGGGCCTTCCTCCTATACAGATTCTCTTTGCTGTTGAAGCATCGCTGTCCTTGGAAATCGCCGGTGCTTCCTGATCCACCCACCGCAGGCAGGCCACACACTCTGGCCACCCACCTTCTCAACCTGGGTCCACGGGTTGAGCCTTTTGGGACCTGGAGACGTAGGCAAAATGACAAGGCCTGTGTAGTCTCGGAGCGTTGCCACCTTCTTCTGTATCATTGTTGGAGCAGTAGAGTGGCTGGGGGACCCATTATTTATTGTAACTAGAACCCCAGGCAGGTCACATAACCTTCTTGCGAAGTCTCCACTCTTCTCCTGTCAGGTAGTGGGCCACACAGGATAGTCACCTCGTAGGACTGCCCAGAGCTCTGAGAGAGATGTATCAGTGCTTACTAGGGAAACGAATTCAATGCAAGATATAACAAATAACGTAAAAATTTACAAGATTGGCTTACCAGAGTCAGTTGTGAAAGAGTGCAAAATGCTTGTGTGGTGGACAGCCAAAGGACACAGCCCAAGGCCCAGAGCTCACCTTAGGGTCCCTTGTGAGTCCAAATCAGGAGGCCTAAGGGTGTGGGCTGGAGGCTGAAGATGACATCCAAGGGGAAGGTGAAGACTGGAGCTCCGGGGAAAAAAACAGAAGCAATCTTTCCTTCTTTCTTTCTCCTTTACACCATTCAATGACAAGCTGCCCTGGGCTGGGTCTTCTGTCTTTGGCAAATCCCTTCAGCCACACTCGGGAACTATGCTGCCGGTGCAGTTGGGTGTTTCTTGCTCAGGTTGACACTATAACAAGGAATAATTTAACTATCACAAGGGATGCTCAAAAGCTAGCATGTGCTTAAATAAAAAATTATTACAATAAAGGATACATGGCCATCAGTCCCCTTCAAAATACTACCCTCATCACTTTGGTCTTCATTTTATTTCTTCAGTACCAAACTTGGGACCTTGCACTATGCTGCTGAATTATATCCCCAGCCCTCTCCCCTCATCACTTTGAACACATATTCCAGTGCTCTTGCCACTAGCTGAAACAGCTCTGGAAGTGCTTTTTCATGAGAGTCTTTATGAAGTCTGATTTTTAAGAAAGACTGTAAATAATGTCTCTAAGTGTCGTCCAATGGAAAGGCAGGTTCAAAAAGAATAAGCTATGTCTTCTTCCACTTTAGTAACTGGCTCTGGTAGCTTGTGACTTCTGGTTCTTTCCCCCCAAGTCAAAATGACCTGAAAGGCACATGTTTTGAATCAGTTTGGGGCACTGAGACAGCCACTACAGTGCAACTAAGAATGCTTACAAGAGGACTTCCAGCACTGCTTCAGAAAGTGACAAGAGAAATTGCATAAGTGCACCTGAAGCAGTGGGGGGTGTATTTTGAGGGGGCTCAACAGCAACGTCTCTTTTACTATACTTTATTAATTTAAACATTCACGATAATTTTTTATGACATTGCACATAATACCCTCAGCCCTGGCTTCCAGGTGTCAGAGGCTCCCTTGCTGGCCCTCCTCTGGCCATGCCTTTCTTCCCTGCACAATGAATCCACTACACCCTTTCTAGACTGCACCTGAGATCTGGGACCCTGGAGTTCCAGTTGCCCTGGAACTGGAACAAACACCCTGTGCCAGCCTTTTTCCAGATCCACCCTCTGAAGGCTAACCCCACTAGCCATGCCCCCAGAGGCCTGGACAGTGGCCAAGGGAACGCTGTCTGCAGGTGATGGGGAAGGGAAGAACTTGATGCGCAGAAGGAGCAGTCCCATGAGAGACCCTGCTCCTGTAGGACCAAAGAGAACAGACCAGAGCATAGTTTAAAAAGTGCTATTTTGGACCTTGCCTTCCAGGTCATCAGAAAGGAAAATATGAATCAAAGAGGATAAAAGACCAACTTGACGATTTATTATCCCAATTTATAACATATTTAGACCTATATACCATTTTCACTTTTATACCTTCCCCAGACTGGACAAATATCAGAAATAGATCTGGCTGTGAAGGGTGAATGAGACGCCACTGCATGGAGAAGTACTTAGCAAGGTGATAGGCACTCGGTGAACACACAGTGCATTTGAGCTCAAAGAGGTCTGTGGCTTCAGAAGTCCTGACCCTGGATCCAGGCCTGCAGGCTTGCCCTTTCCTTCCCCCCAGAGGTCCCCACACTACACTAACAGGGCTGGCTTCCTCACGGCCTGCTTTATTTTTACAGCAGGGTCATGTTTCTCAGAGGAGTAGGCTGAGGTGAGACAGGAGGTGAGCCAAAGGGAAGGAAAGTGACCCCTGCCCAAAAGGGGGAGGGAGAGAGCTCAGGGATATCTTTAGACGTTGGTACAGAAAGGGGAAGCAGTCTCCTCTGGTGCCTTCTCCCCTGCTGTCACATTGCCCACGGCTTCTCATAGCTGGACAGGTCCTTAGGAAATCCCCCTGGCTCCAATGAGGAGATGGGCCCAGAGAGGTAGAATGTGTGGCCCAAGGTCACCTAGAAAGTTACTGGTAAAGGCAGAGGTGAAATTTTTCCATATTTGGTTTTGTCCCAGCTTTTCTCTAAAAAGCATCAGGAGGGCTCCTCCGCCACTGGACAGAAAAAGTGCTTGGGAAATGCATTAGTGGCTAGAGGATTTTTACATTTATAGAGCACTTTTCTCAAAATTTCTCAGAAACCTGGCCCATTGACCTAGCTGAGAGGCTCCTCCAGAGGATGCCAAGGAAGATAGGGTGACAAAAATCAGGGTTCCTTCTCTCTTGCCTTGGGGAAACTCTTGAGAAGCCCCCTTGAGCTCAGCCCCCTTTCTGCCTAGCTCAGGAACCCCTAGTCCCTGGGGGAGAGGAAGGGACCGCACTGGAGTGGTTCCTTTCCCTCTGCCTGCTGAAAATTCCTCGGAAAAGGTGGGTGTGACATCTGGCTAGAAGGCCCCCAGCCATGGCCTGACAGCTCAGATTCCTGAGGATACAGTAATGCACTCAGGTCTGGGTGCCCTGGCTCAGAAACACCTCGAAAAGCAAGCTTTTAGGATCAGAAATAGATTGAGCCCCTGCCCAGGACAGCAGCAAACTGTCGGTTCTCAGGCTGGCAGAGACAGGCTTGGGTTGAAGAGGGAGGAGATGGCTTTCAGGGAGATCCAAGGGGTCTCTAGGGAGCAGTCAACACTACTATCTTCTCTGAAGCCGGCAGCACACTCGCTGGTCACCTCCTGCCTTGGGTCCCTCCAAGAGGCCGACTTGAGGTTGGGTCTTTGTTTCCAGGTGGGGCTGCCTGAAGGAGAGCCAGTGTGAAGGGGGGCTAGTGTGGGTAGGAAGGGGACCAAGCCCCGCAACGGGAGCCTCGGAGGTGCTCTGCCACAGGAAGGCACTCGGCACGGAGCGGAGCGGGACCCCCTTCCACAGGTGACCAGGGCAACTGGACAGAAAGCTGCCGCCCCGCCAGTCCTCAGCGACCTGCCCAGGATCCTAAGCGGGAGGGAAACGGAGAGAGGGAGCTGCCTGCCCCATAGACAGGTCTCCGGGCTATTTTGAGAGGTGCTCCATCCAAGTAGCGGGAGCCCTGCAGGGAGCCTCTCTCCCCCACTCCCCTAATGCCCTTGCCTGCCATCTCCCTCTCCCGCCTCCTCCCCCAGAAGCCCTCGCGCGCTCCCGTCAGGGCATTGCAGGTAACGCGGCAGCTCCAAGTGCTGACTTGGCTTCTGGAGCCCGAACGCGTGGGCTCTGCAAGGAGCGCACCCCACGACTTCACCTCTCAGCTCTTCTCTGGTCTTAGATCAACACCCAGCGCTGCATCTGGGCCTCGCTTGTCCTGCTACCCCCGCCCCAACTTGCAAACAGAGTCCGGCCTTGGGACCGTGGAGCTGCATGCACCACATTCTCTGCATTAGAGTTAAATGCCCACAAATCCTTCTGCTACTTGAGTCAGGGCTGGACACACACTGCTGGACCAGTTTTCGGAGTCCTCGTTCTAGCGCACCTAGGTCTGTCTTCTGCCCCTCCAGGGCGCCTCCTCCAGCTCATTGTCCTCTGGCCGCCAGCCAAAGTCTC